ACTTGACCAAGCCTTGATGTGCAATAGGAGACATCTCAACCTTGTTGAGAAGCCAAATGGCCCGTGGGATAGGCCTAGAGCACCCTTTTCCCTAAAAATATCCCAGAAGAAGGATGTTATGCAGTGGTTTAAGGACATCAAATTCCCTGATGGTTATGCATCAAACCTAAGGCGAGGGGTCAACATGGACACTCTAAAGATAAATGGCCTCAAAAGTCATGACTTCCATATATTCATTGAGCGTTTGCTACCTGTGATGATGCGAGGTTATGTCAAGAATGAGATATGGGAGGTGCTAGCTGAAGTGAGTTACTTTTTTAGAGTGCTTTGTGCAAAGGAGGTTGATCGTGCCCAGATACGTCAACTTGAAGCAAACATACCTGTTTTACTTTGTAAAATGGAGAAAATCTTCCCACCAGGTTTCTTCAATTCAATGAAGCAAACATACCTGTTTTACTTGAAGCAGACATTATTGAGTTAAAGTTTGACGGTGGTAGTGATTTCAGCCTTGTTTTATTTGAGCGTCATTGGTTCCATCCAACTAATGGAGTGAGGCACTTCGATAGACTTGCACTAGTAGAAGTTGCCCATGAATCATGTAATCCAGCAAATGAGCCTTTTGTTCTTGCTAGCCAAGTGAAGCAGGTTTATTATCTTTCATATCCATGTAAATCTGATCCGAACCTCAATGGGTGGTGGGTTGCATACAAGGTCAGCCCTGTTGTGAACTTGTCCATTCCTTCAATGGATGAGTACAATGATGAAGACCCGCCATGTATAGATACCTTCTAGGAAGATGGTCTAGAGGGAGAATTTGCCATAGACATAGGAATAGGTTTATATAATATCACAATAAGTGATGGCTTTGATGAGATTAATGATACAAATGAAATTTCTATGCTGGTCAAACAACTAAATGGTGTGAATGGAGAGAATGAACCTCCAATTGAAGAGCGAGTAGAATGTAATCCAGAATATTTTGTTGATTTCACACAAGCGGAATACCCTGATCCTGATGACTTTTAGGGGGGGTAATGATTAGGTAGTGCTCTTTGCATATTTTGTTGATTTCACATTATTCTTCATTATTTTATATATGTTTCATTACCATTTCCATAGTGCTATTTGTAACATATGTTTCATATATGCAGTGATGACACTCTCACATCGTGGGACACGTGAGTCGTTTCTACCACCGGTTACATTGCTAGACGAACACGACTTCAAGTCATAATGAACTGTTGAACCTCTCAGTAGCAAGTGAGCAAAGTCAAGGACACTTGCGGGTCATGCGCGATCTTCCCCAACTATCCCCAATGAGCAAGATCGCCCATTGATTGAACCACAAGGAAAATCGTGAGTTTATCAAATTTACATTGTGATTTTCATGCAAATATGCACTCATACGACGTGTTAATTGAATTGTTCGTTAATATATATAGGCATTGGACTGGAGGGGAGGGAAGGACTCCGGCAAGTGTGCTGGCATGTCTACTAAAAAACTATCATCCTGGTTTGGTTGAGTACAAAGGCAAGATTGTGGTTGCATCAACATGGAAGCATTATGAAGCATCAACAGCTGTTGATTCTATTTCTAAAGGTTTTTGGGTAAATTCTGCAGCTTAGCTCTATTTCTGTACAGATGTATCACTGCTGTTTCTTACTAATAGTATGTCTATTTTGTGCTTATAATTACTATTTTTGCAGCAAAGATTTAGATTCAATTCAGCCAAAGAAGTAGAATCAAGAGAACATGTTGGATCTTGCTGCTCAGTCCTCCTAGGGAGCATCATTTATTATGCAAGAATCACTGCAACAATGGAACATTTTCGTGAAGTGGAGAAAAGAACTATTTGTGACAAGATTGTCGGACATTTCTGTTTGACGCGAGAGGAGTATGCTGCATGATGCCCACCTTAGTGTAAACAATCTTGTTGGGACGTTCTAGCCACAGAGTGGAGCAGTCCAGAATTCAAGCAAAGATCGGAGAAAAATCGTGCCAATCGCTATAGCCGTAAGTTTAAACCGCACAAAGGAGGGTCCAACTCTATTGCAACAATAAGGGAGAAATTGGTTAGTGTCCAATTACTAAATTCTGTTGTTTACTTGTTTGCAGTAACAATTAATTTCATATTCTTGTTATTATTGTAGTCAAAGAAATTAGGAAGACAAGTATGTGAGATAGGGGCATGGGTGCATACTCATAGAGGTTCAAATCCTGAAGATACTACTTCAGTCAACACAAAAGAGGCAACTGCATGCTTGGTAAGTGCGATATGAATATCCGAAGTGCCAACTAATTCTGTACATGACCTGAAATTAAAGTATAGAGTTGATGAATGGTTTCTGTATAGCTACACATTACTTTGAATGCATGGTTTTGGTACATCGATTCAGTGCAGCAAGAAATTTTAACCAATTTTAGCTGGATTTTAATAGTATGGTTTCAGTACATATGAATTGTATGAATCGCTGGCTAGCTGATCTCTCTTTTACTTCTCTGTCAAATGCCCACACATTATTTTATTTATGTGGCAGGAGAAATACAAAGCTAAGGCCATTGAACTAAATGGACCAGATTTTGATTGGTTGCACTCTCCGGTTGATGGTAGAGCTCTTTATGAATGCTCTTGTGGCCGCCCACATGGAAAATGTGCTACATTTAATGGGATGGTCAATGTCAAAGAAGTCATCCCTGACTTAAGGAGAAGTCGTGAATCTGCAATGGCTGCTAGACGCCAACGCCAAGAGGAAGATGAGCGATTAAGGAAAGAAGCTCATGACTGTCGTGTGGCCAAGAAAAATGCCCAAAATATGACGGAGCGGAGTAGAATGGTACATGCTTACACTAAGAACATGCAAAAATTTATGGAGGTGACGTTTCACATGCATCCTTTTCTATCCATCTTATTGCCACTTGAGTTACCTGTTAATGAGTATACATATACATTTGATTATTGCTGAGCTAAATGGTATGCCTGCCACATCTGTTCCTGGTCCTCTGCCTCCACCACCTGTGCCTCCTGTGTATGCCGATGTACCATCTTTAAATCCATCTTCTGATAATGTAAATCTAATTGCTCTACATTTGCTTATTTGAAGGGTTGCAACTGCAGTTATTTGTTCCTGTCTCACGTGCACAGCAGCTGTGGCTGCAAATGAGTGCAGTTCTTCTAGCAAAAATACATGTCTGCTATAGCATTAGCATCTATTTCTCCTATACACATGAATGCATCCTGATTTTCAATTTCGATTACATGGCTTCCATATGTCTTTTGTTAATATTAATTGTTGTACACATCTCAGCTAGTCTAGTGAAACCTATTTTCAAATGCTATGTCTTTGAACCTATTTTTTGGCATAGCGTTTACCGTGAAATTTCTACTTATTTAATAAAATTCCATTTGTTCAATTGAATAGGCTTGTACTGGTGGCTCTTTAGTTGGAATAGAAAGTCCTGAAGAAACATTGAGTAGAATTGCTCAAGGAAGATTCCGTGGCCACGAAAATGCAGCAACTACAAGTGGTCGTGACAACTACTCTCCTCCGATCGACGAGTTTTCATTTTTCTGAATTCTTATGTTGCCAAAACATGGCACTTATCTTTTGTCGCCAAAACATGGCACCTATGTTCTGTTGCCAAAACTAACATGGATTAGACAACTCCTTTTGAGTTAGTGTTTAACTGTTAGATGCACAGTTATTATTAGTGAATGAACACCATAATTGTAATGTGATGATGCACTATTTGAGTTTGAATGCACTAAATTATTGCTGATGGTATTGTGTCAACGTGTTCAAATTTGAATTTTGTATATAAAATCAATTACAATTATTTGAGGTCAAATATGATGCCATGCCAGATATATTTCCCTAGAGATCAATTTCCTAGGGAATCCTGAAGTCCTAGGGACAATACCTTTAGGCCCCGTTCGCTTGTCTTAAATTTGGCTTGTTCGGCTTGTTTTTTCAGCTAGAACAGTGTTTTTCTCTCACAACAATTCAGCCGGAACAGTGTTTTTCAGCCAGTTTCAGCCAAAGTTCAGACCAGCGAACGGGGCCTTACACGTTGGATTTGTGTCAGTATGCACAGCAGGTTCCCTAGGGAGCCGTTTTCCTAGGGAAATCAGAATCCCCTGCGGTTTCAGTCAAAACCGTAGGGCACCTTCGTATTTCCCGTCGAAGTGTTCCCTAGGACTATTTTAGCATGAAATACTGTGGGGGCTTAGGTTCCCTACGGTTTTAAGCTTTTTTCCTAGGAATTCAAACCCTAAGGAAACTCGTAGTTTCCAGCAGTGTATAGGGGTGTTTGTTTGTTTGCTAGCCATACTTTGTGACACTTCATCTTAGGCAAGTTGACCAAATTGGCAAGTGTTAGATTGTTGACTAACCTTAGGCAAATTTCTTTTGGGCTCAACAAGTCATAGAGTAAAAAGTATGGCAAGATTTCCTTAGGCATGATAAAATGTGGCTTTCAAATTTGTAGCCACACTTTTTATTGCTTGCCACACTTGCCTAAGTTTGTTGTGGTATAACCAAACAGCCCTGTACTATACTAGATGCATTTGTTAAATGCCCACGCGATCATTAAGCTCGCGGAGCTGTCATTATTCACTAACCGACTCGTCATGCCAGGCCAGCGACATGACACTAGTGTGAGCAAGCGATAAGATCAGGCACGGCTCGGATGATCCGTCGCGGGGGGCACGGTGTGGCTGGCTTAGCTTTTGGCTGCCCGTGTGAGCAGTGAGACCGAGCGCGGCCGCATGCAGCACGGGTTTCGCCGTGCATGTGCATATTAAGGGGCATCCCCCATTCAATTCCTCTCGACACCAATCTGCACTCCAGGACCAGGAGCCACAGCACAAACTGCTACCACCTGGCCTCCGTCAGTGTCGGAATAATCCCGTCCCATCCAGTAGAGTCGAACCTCGACGACACTCGATCGAGAGAATATCCTAGCTAGTTGGCTTCTTGCCCTTGCCCCCTTGTCGATCGATATGGCGGCGGTGGCAGCAGGTGAGGAGAGGAAGAAGACGGCGTGCGTGACCGGAGGGAACGGCTACATCGCCTCGTTGCTCATCAAGATGCTGCTGGAGAAGGGCTACGTGGTGAAGACGACGGTGAGGCACCCAGAGGACAAGGAGAGCAACTCCCACCTGGAGGACCTCAAGAAGCTGGGCACCTTGGAGGTCTACCGCGCCGACCTCGGCGAGGAAGGCAGCTACGACGACGCCGTCGCCGGCTGCGGCTACGCCTTCCTGCTCGCCGCGCCGGTCAACTACACGTCCAACAACCCTGAGGTGCGTGCACAAATTAAACGCGCGTCTCGTCGACTTTAGTGATGTACGTGCCACGCGCAAACAAGGACTTGCTCGATTGTTTAATTTGGCGATGGGCCAATGGTGGCATGGTGCAGAAAGAGCTGATGGAGCTGGGCGTCCAAGGCACTCTGAACGTGATGAGGTCGTGCGTCAAGTCCGGGACGGTGAAGCGCGTGGTGCTCACCTCGTCGACGGCCGCCGTCTCCAGCAAGCCGCTGGAAGGCGACGGGCACGTGCTGGACGAGGAGTCCTGGTCCGACGTCGAGTACCTCACTGCCAAAAGGACTGGCCTCTGGGTACGCACGTCCTCTCGGCCGGGTCTCGACCTCTTCTCTTCTGAGTTCTGAACTGGAACGCTGATGACATGGCATGCACGGGCATCAACGCAGGCGTACCTGGTGTCGAAGGTGCTCCTGGAGAAGGCGGCGTCGGAGTTCGCGGAGGAGCACGGCATCAGCCTGGTGGCCCTGTGCCCCTCCGTCACCGTGGGCGAGGCGCCCGACAGGCAGGTATACACCACCGTCCCCGCCATCCTCTCCCTGCTCTCCGGCGACGAGAAGGAGCTCAAGGTGCTCAAGGGCATCGAGCGGGCCTCCGGCTCCGTGCCGTTGGTGCACGTCGAGGACGTCTGCCGCGCAGAGATCTTCGCCGCCGAGGAGGCCGCCGACGGGCGGTACATCTGCAACAGCCTCGACACCACCATCCTGGAGATGGCCCGGTTCCTGGCCGACAAGTACCCGGAGTACGACGTCAACACCAACCTGTAAGCATCAATAATGAAGAAGAACTCCAAAACTAGCACTAGATTTGCTTGCATGCCATGATATTAGGTGATCATGTTGCTCCAACCTTTGTTTGCAGCTCCGGCGGCGATCTTCTTGAGAAGCCGATTGCGCTGCTGCCGTCTACCAAGCTGATCAAGGAAGGGTTCGAGTTCAAGTACAAGACGCTGGAGCATATCTATGAGAACATGGTGGAGTACGGCAAGGCCCTGGGGATCCTGTCCAACTGATGTGATGCTGATCCTCCGTGTGCTGATATCGTCACGTCATCAGAAGGCCAAATAGCTGCGGGTGGTTTGAACGTAGCTGTTCAATTCCCCTTTTCAGGAGTATTTGCGAGCAAGTTTGTTTGAGTCGCTCTTTCGCCTTTTTTTTCTTCTTCTTTTTGGCGAGTAAGTTTGAATGTGGCTCCTCTGTTCCATGGAAATGTGTTTTGCGAGGAAGTTTGAATGTAATGAAGCTCTTCCTGTTCCTTCGAAATGTGAGATTTAAGAACTTGAATTGTTCGTCCAAAAGACTTGAGTTGTTCGCCGGCCGGGAAAAGACCAGTCTTATGCCAATCACACTTCTCCGCATGATGCATTATTTCCGCACGACGCACCACAGCCAGGGTAAATTATTATCAGTCATAACCACCACTACGGGAGACGCGCTCTTTGCCGAGTGCTCGGCGCTTTGCCGAGTGTCGAAACACGGGCACTCGACAAAGAGGCAGTTTGCCGAGTGCCGCACTCGGCAAAGCCGGCCCTCAGCAAAGGCCGTCTTTGCCGAGTGTCAAACACTCGGCAAAGAATAACCCTCGGCAAAATACCTCAGCCGACGCCGGTGGCCCCTCTGTCATCCTTTGCCGAGTGCTGGCCGTTAGCACTCGGCAAACGTGTTGTCTTTGCTGAGTGTTGCAAGCCTGGCACTCGGCAAAGTGTTTCCTTTGCCGAGTGCCAATTTCGACACTCGACAAAGTATTTTTATTTTTTTTATTTTTGTTTTCAAATTTTTTCTGTGGCATTTATACAGTACTCGGTAAAGAGGTTCCTTTGCCGAGTGGCATTTAAGTATGCCTAATTTGATCTTCTGATATGTCGTCTACTTGATGTCCTGTAGGCGATTCCAAGCTGGTGCGCCACCCACCCCGATTGCTGGGAATATATTGTGGACACCTGGTTGGATGGGGACTGGCAGAAGAAGCACGAGGAGGCCCGCGACAGGCGTTTGCAGATGCCAGGTGTACCTCACTATCAGGGCAGCCGCGGCCTCAGCAAATATGCAAAGGCATATGTAAGTCTCTGCCATTGCTCTAATCTAGCCGCGCTCAATTCTGCATCATTTCTAACCACATGTTGTTGTCTTTCTCGTAGTCGGATGCACACGGTGGCCAGCCAGTTGGTCAACTCAAGGCATCTGCTTTGGCTCACATGGGCAAGGCGACGACCGACATCGAGTACGACCCAGATGCCCTGGTTGAGGCGTACATCAACTCCAACGTCCACACATGCCTCTCTTCGTACACGGAGGCGGCAAGGTCAGTCCATGGGTCGGGCTACGATCCGAGAACCGAGGAGCGCCTTGATCCTCAGCTCGTGATGAGGGTGGGGCAAGGCAAGAAACATGGGCGGTTCTGGATTGGCTATGACGTCCTTGACACGGCCTCTACTCCTCTCCACCAGCTCCGAGCATCGAGCACGAGCTCAAGCGTGCCCATACGCCAACGGCCGACCGCGGTGTCGGCACTCCAGGTAAGCATTCCTGTTTTATTCGTCGTTCTTTGACTTTTACATACCTTACCTATGCATTATTGAAACATTGGGGTCAAATGCTGCAGGCCTAGGTGCAGGAACTGCAGGCCGAGCGGGAGGTCGAGCGGCAAAGGCTATAGGCTTTGGAGGCCCAGCGGGAGCAAGATCGGCGGCAGATGGCCGAGATGATCAAGTTCATGCAGCAAATTGGCCAGCAACAAGGTTGGGCGATCCCACAGACGCTGCTTGCTCCAGATCCACCTCCACAACGTCCTGATTCTACCCCAGTGAGTATAAGTACGAAGTTTTACTTTCTATGCTGAAACTTAGAAAAACCTAGTGAAACCTAGTGGTGGTGGTGGTGGTGTGGTGGTCATGGTGGTGTGGTGGTCATGGTGGTGGTGGTGGTGTGGTGTTGGTGGTGGTGGTGGTCACGGTGTTGTGGTGCTCATGGTGGTGGTGGTGGTGTGGTAGTGGTGGTGGTCATGGTGGTGATGTGGTGGTGGTGGTCGTGAAGTGTTGGTGGTGAAGTGTTGGTGATGACGGTGATGTGATGGTGGTGGTGGTAGTGGCGGATATTTATCTTGCATATTTATCTCTTCTCTTGTCATTCATGTGCAATCTCTTCTATTTTGTGCAGCATCAATCGGGGGCGGCGTCAAACCACCTCGAAGGGTCGCCGGGATCGCACGTTTGGTCATCCCAACCCGGACCGTCGCCGTGAGCTTCAAATGGCAGCCGTTGTGATATAATGCACTTGTGAACTTTGTGAACTATGCTTGTGTGTTTGGACTTTGGACTTGGGAGTCGAGATTGTGATACTTGTATGCTATGTTTGTGTTTGTGGTGGATTGTAATATATAGTTGTGTTATATATATATATATATATATATATATATATCTTGTTTGCAACGATGGAAGACTAAAAACCAAAAAAAATTTATTTTTTCACTGTTTTGCCGAGTGTCATGACCATGACACTCGGCAAAGCTGGGAATCTAGGACACTAAGCTTCCCAGCTTTGCCGAGTGCCATGGGCAAGGCATTCGACAAAGAAAATTACTTTGCCGAGTGCCTACCTACAGCACTCGGCAAAGAAAATCCAAAAACAAAAAAGAAAACAAGCTTTGCTGAGTCTCATATGCAGGCACTCGGCAAAGCATTTTTTAAAAAAATAAAAAAAAACACATTTCTTTGCTGAGTGCCGACGCGTGGCACTCGCCAAAGGGGCTGTCACCGTGGCCTGGCCGTCATGGCGGCTTTTCTTTGCCGAGTGCTGTCGTGGCACTCGAGAAATCCTTTACCGAGTGCCCGACATGCGGCACTCGGTACGGCACTCGGCAAAGAAGCATTTGCCGTGAAGGGATATGCCGACGGCTCTTTGCCGAGTGCAGCATTAGGCAAAGGCTTTGCCGAGTGCAAAGTTTTCTTTGCCGAGTGCAACGCAATGCACGCGTCCGCTGTAGTGCACCAAATATTAGCACTCTCAAAGACAAATAAGGCACGCCGGTGTATCAGTGAATTTATAAGAAAATTTGATCAAATTTGTGAATTTCATCCGATAATTGTCTCTTGCTACCATCCGATAAAAAATTTGCATCGCTAGCAAAAACCCTGCCTATGTGTTCTCGGCCTGCACTCGTTTCTCCTATTGCCAATTGCCTTCAGCAGCATGAATTCGCTACAACTTAATCACTTTTTTATGTGAACCAACTTGAGTTAGAAATAACAAATATAAAAAATATATATACAAAGATAACCGATTTAAAAAAACTCGGGCTGCAGGGATAGATACCCCCGAGCTATTTTTAGCTTAAGGTTGAGAACTTCTCACCCAGCCCGTGAAAAACACCGAACCCCATGCCCCGCCCGCACACAGGGACCCGTTGCCCTCTCACCGGTCCATTTTACCTGTGCTTTGGGAATAAGGTATCCGTTTTAGGTTAAAATGTAACCTTTATTTTCATTTTCTTATTTCCAATTTGGACATTTTGTGAGTACTTTCTTTTTACTTTTGAGAAGAAAAGCTTATTTTTCAAAATATTATCACTGTCTTTGTTTATATTTCGGATTGGAACAAATGAATCTGATATTTGTCCACTAAGGCCTTCCGTGGTGGTAAATTCAGTTCTTGGCAATAAGAGTTTATATACATATCACACTATAAAGCAAAAAGATATAAATCCTAGATATTCTAACTAGAGGTCCCCAACGGAGTCTCCATATCAATCCTCGTGGGACTTGCTAGAAAAAAAAAATCCTAGAAGTTCTCATAAAAAATAGAATTATCCAGCCTTTAATTTTCTAGAATCTAATCACCATTTCTCTAATAATAACAACCATTGGATCAATTCTATTTTAAAATAATTACTCACCTTAGCAATTTTGAGAAACAACATAAAGTAACCCATGAATTTGTATTTAAAATTACCCACGTATGCCATTACGAAACATAATGTAAAGATACCTCAAAGTCTCGTCTAAGTACCCACCATCTACTGCTTAACCTCTTAAGTCTGCATCTAAATTACCAATATCTTTTATTAAAAAAGTTCAAATAACCATAAACTATGTATATTTATTTCTACATTATCCAATTCAAACATTAATCTTTTAAAAAATAATTGAAGCAAAAAATCAACATTAATGTGTTAAAAATAATTAAAGCAAAAATCCATATACGTAGTAAAATGTATATTATATCTATAAAGCTAGAACGACTTACAATTTGTAACGTAGGAGGTAGTACCTAAAATTTATGTCTTAAAGAATTTAACATGTGTATAAGCACGAGTTGTTAGAACAGTGCTGATAAATTGGTTGTTCACGAAATTGTGGACGACAGTTATCAAATCTGTAGCAAAGCACACGATGATGGCATGGGCACGCTATGTCTGAACGTACAAAACTCATAACTCCGAGCCTGTTCGGGAGGCCGTATCGTATCGTGGATTATTTACTGTTGGCTGGTTTGGTGTGAGAGAAAAACACTATTCCTGACTAAAAATTTACGATCGTTTACGAGCAAGCGAACAGGCTGTCCATGAGTCATTTCATTGAGCACGTTCCTCGTTTCTCGTTTTCAACGGGGTCCAAGGAACGAGGCGCATAATGTTTGTCCATGTCGACAAACCGTATAGTCAGCGCATAATGTAATATCTGTAGCTTACGCGAACACTCCTAGTAAAAGAACCATCGGCAATCATTGTGAACAGAACAGACTACACCGCGTACAGTGATTCAGAACAAGCCATCAGAGCTGAAACAGCTGAGAGAACGTTCTCCACGCGTGTCGTGGAACGCATTCAGGAAGAAAAAAAGTCAAAGCAATATGATGCAGGAGATCCACAGATGTGACGGAAAAGCTTCTGCTTGTGTGTCGCTTTGCGCTCGGCACCGTACTCGGTTGGACACAAGTGTACTGACTACTACTGAGTACTGAGTGAGTGGCAGACAGCGAGTGATCAACGTCGCTCTTGGTTCCACCAAATTTCCAA